ACAAAACATGTGCTCCCAAATACACGATGAGAGATAGAATAGAGATGTGACTGAGGATACAATACGAAATGTGGAACCTGATTCTGAATAGAAGATAAGGGCATTCTATTAATTAAATAACAAGATGAAAGGACTGCATCCCCCCAAAAACGCAGCGAAACATGGGATTCAATGAGGAGAGTGCGAGCAGTCTCAATGAGATGCCTATTCTTTCTTTCTGCTACATCATTTTGTTGGGGAGTGTATGGACAAGATGTTTGGTGAATAATTCCTTGGTGAGACATAAACTCCTAAAACTGGGATGATAAGTATTCTAAGGCATTATCACTATGAAAAGTACAAATAGAAACACCAAACTAATTTTGTATTTCAGCAAAGAAACTTTTGAATATAGAAAATAATTCAGAACGATCTTTCATTAAGAAAACCCAAGTACATCTCGAATAATCATCAATGAGACTAACAAAATAACTAAATCCTAAGGTGGAACTAAATCTACTAGGACCCAAATATCTGAATGAACTAATGAAAAAATAGACTCTGAACGACCCTCAGTACCACGTGAAAATGTGGCATGAGTGTGTTTCCCAAGTTGACATGACTTACAACTTAATTTAGATAAACTAGATAAACTAGGCATCATCTGTTACAGTTTCGATAGACTCGGATGTCCCAAACGTTTGTGAATGAGGTCCAGAGGATCTGTAACAGAGCATGCTATGAAGGAATTTGAAGAGGTAAGATAGTAAAGGCCTTATGATTCATATCATATGCCAATCATCTGTCCCGTACTGTAGTCCTACATAAGTAAAGAATCAGCAAAAAAGGTTATGCTACAATGTAGGGCACGTGTCAAACGACTAACAGATGTCAGATTAAAAAGGGAACCAGGGACATAAAGAACAGAGTCTAGAGTGACAAAGATAGGGGTGTGGCTTTTCCAACCCCTTTTGGTTTTGTTTGGATCCCATTGGCCAAAGTAATAACAGGAAGAGATTGTGAATAAACAATATCTGACATAAGTGATTTGTTACTAGAAATATAATCAGAAGCGCTCGAGTCCGTGACCCATGATCCATGAGTATTAGACTGTGAAACACAAGCAAGAATTACCCGCAACAACAACATCATGATGAACAACCGAAGCTACTTATGGAGACGTTTGCTTACTTGCTCGATATTGAAGGAACTCATCATATTCTGATTGAGCAATATGAGCATTATGGGATGGTCGATCAGGCGGAGCACTATATGCTTTTTGTGGAGATGTCTGCTTACTTGCACGATTACGAAGGAACTCATTATATTCCTTTAGAACAACAGGATCATAACTGGGTAGTGGACCATGCAAATTATGACATATGTCACGAGTGTGTCTAGATTTATGACAATAACTACACTTGGATCAAGATTTTCCAAGATGACCTCCTCTTCGTCGATTCTTCATAGATTGATATGCTCGTTTTTCTATTACTTGAGATGCGAGTGCAGATGAGTCAATGGTAGGTGATGAAACTGCTTTGTGGCTGGGAGGCGCGACAAGACAAAGTAGACGAGAGAATAATTCATCAACTGTAGGAATTGTAGGGCTAGCTAAAATCTGATCACGCACTGAATCATAGTCAGTAGGAAGTCCATCAAGTGTAAGAACTAGAAACAATGTATGTCTGTGGTCTTGTTGTTTTTGCACGTCCGTAGTGACTGGCATAAATGTTTCAAATTCCTCCATGACTGCTTGTACTTGTCCCAAGTAGGTGGACATATCTGATTCTTGTTTCTTTAAGTTTGTCATACGAGATATCACATCATAGAATCGAGATATGTCATTAGTGTATAAAACACGAGTCTTTTTCCAAACTGAATAACATGTTTGGAATGGACAGAACAAAGGCATCAACTTGGAATCAATAGATCGTCATATGAGACTACATAACTGAGCATCAACCTTCTCCCATTGTGCTTTGGCTTTTGCATCTTCCCCACTAGCCTTTGCCTTTTTATCTACCACACAAACAATGTTCGTTAAGTGATCTTGGACACTTGACCCTTGCACCACAACTCAATCGAGGAAGCCCAAGCTAAATAGTTTGAGCTTTCCATTAACGGTTCTGAAGTGATCATAGGGCTTGAACTTCCAATTTCTATATTTTTGGAGCCAGAAGTATCAATCCCGAAAGACATGTTGTGAAATTAGAATATGTAGCCAAAAGATTTGGATATTTTTTTCAAAATCTGAAAAATAGGGTTGTTGCCGAAATAGTAGATCTGATCACCAAATATTGGTCGGAATCAGGAAAAAAATATATGGGTAGCCTTGGAATGAAGAGGCGACCCCACTGGAAAAAGAAAAAAGTCGAAAAGTGGCAGAAAAATATTCCACGCGCTGGCGCGTGGAACTGACAAACTCGCTGGAGAATTTATTCCGACGGTGCGTGTGGCAGTTATTGCCGGTGAGGTTGACTGGGCTTTTCTCGTCGGAGATTTTCGCACCTAGTGGTGGTGTTGATTTTTGAAAAGCTGTGACGAAAAAATAATTACCCAGACAACCACTTAGTTTATAGAAAAAAACTACAAAAAAAATGTTTTTTTTTCTCACAATTGCTCTGATACCATGTGAGAAATATATGAAAAAAATATTATTGAATTGTGTTTTAATTATTACATAGAGAACCCTATTTATAGACACTATGATACAATTCCTACCAAATAGGAAACTATAAACTATTTCTATTCTGTGTAGGATTGTGTATATCTATTCTATTCTAACGTGTGTTATTTTACCAAGGCACAACGTGACAGCACACATCAAGCCCATAACTCTGAGGTATAATCACAATGTCATAGTGGATGGTTTATATCCTCCCCATACTTTTTGTGAGAAATATAGGGAAAAAAATTATTGAATTGTTGTCGTGTCTATATTATTACATTGAGATTCTATTTATCGACACTACAATAAAATCATTTACCAAGTAGGATACTATTTACTATTCCTAATCCTATTCTAAATAGGATTGTATAAACCTATTTCTATTCTAATAGGATTGTGTAAACCTATTCCTATTCTAATACTCCCCCTCAAGCTAGTGTATACAATTCATGTATCTAGCTTGTTACATATGTCATTAATACGAGGACCAATGAGGGGCTTGGTGATATATCTGCAAGTTGATCAGTCGACTTCACAAAATTGACAGTCAATCTCAATGTGCTTGTCTTCTCATTAAATACTGGAATTTATGCATAATGTCAGTCAATTTCAATGTGCTTAATCTTCTCATGAAATAATGAATTTGATGCATAATGCCGATAAAACACAAAGTGATAAAATCACAGTGTTGAACTTCCCAAACCAAACTTGCAAAGACTGTTTCAGACCATAGAGTGACTCACATAATCGACATACAAGGCTACTAAACTCCCCCTGAGCAACAAAGTGTTCAAAATCTAGTATAAAATATATGGATCATGTTGGAATCAATAGATGAGTCGATATTAACCAAGTCACTGAAAGATTGGCCGGAACATACTCATATGCCGGAGTATTAGATTTGATGGCTAAAAGTGGTCATGATTTAAGAAATAAAATTATATGGATAGGGTCAGAATGATGTCACTACCCAACTAGAAAATAGAAATTATATAGGATAGTTTGAATTGATGGAACGACTCCATTGAAAAAGAGAAATAATATGGGTAGGGTCGAAATGTTTGCACGACCCTACTAAAAAAGAAAAAATTATACGGGTAGGGTTTGAATGATGGCACAACCCTACACAAATCAGATTTGAGAAGTCACCGAAAAGACGAATGGAACTATGACAATCAAATCTGAGGAGTCACTGAAAAGACCATAATGTTATGCAACTCAAATATGAGAAAATAGGTCGAAAAAATCCATGGTACTACACAAATTAAGTCACTAGAATGATGGCATGGTGCTACACAAATTAAATATGAAAAAGTAGTCACCAGAAAGATGGCACGATGCTACAAGAATTAAACATAAGAGAGTAGTCACCAGAATGATGGCATGGTGCTACACAAATTAGATATGAGAAAATAGTCATATGAAACACACATGATGAAAAAGTAGTCACCGAAAAGATGGCATGGTGCTACAAGAATTAGACATAAGAAAGTAGTCACCGGAATGATGGCACAGTGCTACACAAATTAGATATGAGAAAATAGTCGCATGAAAGATACATGGTGACCCAACTTTTGCTAACATAATTGGCCAAACGGGCAACATATATTGGTGCCACCTGCCGACAGCGGAATCTCTTTGATTTTATAATACTTTTTACACAAGCAACACCAGTTGACCACAAATAATATAATGTCTTGAGAAAATCAGAATGGCTCTACATGCAGAACACCACATCAAGAATGACACCTTTTTTGGACTCCTATATCTCCATAAAACTTTTCACATAGGTCTACTATTTCCTCTGGTGCATAGATGACTATAAGAGTACTTCCCCGAGAACTTTTCAAGGATGAAGCTGGTTATAAATGAAAAGGCTCGCTAAGAAGTGCTCCACTTCTACACCCATCTCATAAGATATGCATTCAATCTTAAGAACTTTATTCATCTAAAGTTAAAAGTTGCAAGCTTCTAATTTGACAATTGTTCACTAGATTTCTTATATTAGAAAAACTTAAAATAAGCGATTTTTATTCTCTAACGAACGGAACTAATGCAGATATGAGTAAACTACTTAGCTTTGTTTCCTTTGCTGAATTCAAAATTTGGCGATTTTCATTACACCTGACGCCCCATTTGCAATAGACAATTAAACCAAAAAGTTCACTATTTTTCTTCCCCTTATCCAGCTAAAATTATCAAAATTCAACATCAAATTGCACAATACTGGCAAATACTCAAACAATTTTAAGAGATGCTGCAAAATGTTTACCACATTCGAAATTCAAACAAAAGCATACATAATTGTAACTGCGTGTGTGAAGTGGGAGGGGAGCCTGGGAGGTTATTGTAAGAAATCCTGCTTCAGCAATCCCACAACAAATAACTGTTCCCTTTTACCAATGCATTTAGAGAGAGAGATAAACTCTATTTGCTTCAGTCCTTTTCTAGGAGAAAGATAGTGGTTTGTGAATATGACAGAGAATGATTGTAGAGCCACACACATAGAGAGGGTGTGGCCTGAGACGGCGATCCAGATTGGCGATAGTTGGACTCTAATAAGTACGGCCGAGTAACTGAATGTCTATTCCACTCATTTTTCTTTGACAAAATATAGCCAAATTATTAATTTCATTGACAACTTTATAAATATCTTTTAATTTTACTAATTAAATTTAGATCTACCCTTAACAAGTAATCTCAAATTTTTAATTAGAAAAATGTTGAAAATACCTATAAACTTTGTAAGAATTTAAGGGTGTATTTTGCTTATATTATAAGACAAGTGAATTTAGCCGAGCTTCGCGCGATCATAAATAGCTCGTTAAATTTGTCAAATAATTAATTTTTAGAATAGTTGAGTACTAAAAATATTCTAAAGATTCTTTGTAGTGTTTAATCCAAATATATCAAATTTTAAGTCTTGATTAAATTTATTATAGTACTTAATTTTATACCTTTTGTAACTTTAAATCGCTTAAGAACTTTCGATCTTATGAAAAAAATTTACCTAAAATTATTCTCCTTATTTTAATAAGAAAAGTAAGTTTAATTTAATAAGTTTAACTCTTTATGGATTTTGTCTACACATAATTTTTTTTATTCTGAAATATACATAAGCTTAATAAATAAATAAAAATTGCAAAAAAATGGTGTTTTTTTTAATATCTAGTTTTTGTTCCTTTAAACAAAGATTTATTTTTTTATGATATCAACTATATATAATCATAACTTATGAAATGTTTGTAAATTATTTTCTATCTTGACTAATTTTTACTACCATTATAATAAACTACCTACTATTTATATAAAAATGAATTAGATTGAAAGATACATAGTCTCAATTACACAAAGAATATAAAGTATTCAAATAAACTAAACTCAAAATATTTATATGTATTAACTAAAAATACTCCTTTACATTTATCTATATTTTAGTTAATATTTCTAAATTATTCTGAAAAGTAAACATAAACAAAAATGTGGAATTTTCTAATTCTCAAAATTGATTTCATTATTCACAGGTTTTACATAAGAACAAAAGAATTAACTTTTGTGAAGAAAAAAATATATATTGTTGACACCCAATTTTTGAGCTCCAAAATATATATTAATCATCGAGTTTCTTCAATATCGAACAATTTGAAATAATTAGTTCTATAACATTCAAAATATTTTTCAAGTTATTTTAAAGTAATTTAGTCGCTTTTATAATTTTAAAATAATAAATATGCATACTTTTTACAATTTTGCATAAAATTAGTATATTTTATGAATATTCAAAAATTGTCTCAAAAATATTTTAGTTTTACTTAAATAGTTGGTTAATTGGTTTAGTTAATTAATCCTTACAATTTCGAGTTATTAGTTTATAATTAAGTTAATTATTTTATTTCGTTAAAATTAAGAAGCTCGTTAATTAATCAATTTTAATTCGTCTTGTTTAAATTTTAGTCAAATTTCCTAATTTAGACTCAATTTGACTAACTTCTTAATTCCCATGGCCATAATTGCAAATCATGTGGCTATTTTCCTATTACAAATCTAGCTCATTTCTTACCTCCATTCAATTCTTTACAAGAACCCATTTTGGGCCTATTTAAATCAGCCCTTTACTTTCAGCAACCCACTTTTCACCTCAATAGAAACCCATGCTGCCAAATACAGTTCCCAGCCCAATTCCTAACATAACTATACAACAGCAATCAACAATGTACATCAATAAAACCCGATCCCTGCGAGTTTTTCTTCTTTCTCGCGAATCAGTGCAGCGAGAACCCATAAAACGCGAACCAGTCCAGACGCAAACCCAGAACTCAATCGCAGACCCGACCCATCTCTCACAGTCCGCGTCCCTCTTCTCTTACCTTATCCGTTCGTATTGAGAATGTTGGAGAATAATCCAGATGTCGAAATCCCACACCTCGAACGTTCTTGCTTCTCAAATCGACGGTCCCCTCTTTGAATCCATTGAGAATTGTATGATTTGGTACAAATTCAAGTTGGTCGACCTTATCTCTAAGGGAATTTGAATTTCAAAATTTGAAATTCGTCCAAAAATCTTCTTGTTTCCCCCTAAATATGCCCTAATTTCGTTTATAAATACCTTCTTCCTTCAGTGTTGGGAGATTGGGGAAACAATAGAGGAGGAAGGTCGAAATTTAGGATGAGAACAATGTTTCTTATAACATCGAATCCACAGAACTTTGAGTCTTAGTTTTTGATTTTCGTTTTTGTTCCTCGGAGCTCATCAGAGTTCATCTATTGGTGGTCGAATTGTCTCCATCAGCTCGAGTTCTTAGTTTGCTGCACTGAAAAAGGTAATATCCTTAGTCTAATGTTTCGTTTCCTCTCCATTGATATGTGGTCGGCTCTGTTTCTGTTCCATTAGTCATTCTTATGTGTTGATTAATAAATTATTGTGTCTCTTGATATGATTAGAATGCTAAGAGTGTTGTATTCTGTATTTATTGTTGATTTATTGCGATTCGAGTTGTATTTTCATCCAATATTTATTAGTTTCTTTCTATGGTAGTCTTATTTTTGACAAAGTCCTTAGCTATTGCTTAACTTGTTACTTCTCTAATGTTGCTATCTCTTTCATTACATTTTAGTGATCTTATTGTTGAACACGGTTGATGGTCTGTCCCTTTGAGTTCCATTTGAATCTTACTGATGTAATAGTTCGATTTTCTTCAAATGAAGTCGCTTGTGTTGATAATATTTTCGTTTGAGTTTGGTTAGCTATTTTAATTCAATTGGCTATTCCTTGTGTGATGTTAAGCAGCAACTCTCAAGTTTAAATAATTTTGGGTATCTTACAGTGATGTGTTCGCTTATCGTGTTATTTGTTCATCCTAAAACTCCAGTTTAGCTTGTTATAAATAAAATCTTAAAATTGTTATCTTATTGTTTTAATTTTTTCCTTGTTATCTTACAAATCTAAGCATTATGTTCGCAGTTTAGCTTGTGACAGTGATATTGGAACTTTTAGTACAATCCTCCTTGTGATTTATCACTAGTTTATGTGTGTTTCTTCATCTTATTGAATCGTTGTTCCCTCAATCTAGTAGCGGCTCATCTTGTTTTAGATTATACATATATGCTAGTTTAGGAAAATTTGGCATTTTGTGATGATATTCCTTTATTTAATACGGCTTTAGTTTAATTTTGGATAATGTCTTAATTTAATTGGAATTCATGCTCTATGCTAAGTATGGTGTACTGATTAACTATTGTCAATTCATTGTTAAATGTGTTTATTAAAACTTAGATAATATGTGATATTTCCTAATCCTACATGTCTAGAATAGTTAATGATATAGTTAGTCATAAATTGTTAAGGATATATGAATATGGTTGGTAATTAATTTAATAATGCTTGTATCTACTCCTCTGTTTGTTTGATTCGCTTGTTAAATTTTCCTTATGAGTGACACCTCCTATGAATACCAAAGTTAAAAATTTTCTCATCTTTATTTTAAGTCCTACATAATATATTTTGCTCAGATGACTTATGGTTTGTAGCAGTAGTACATAAATTTTGTTTTGATATTTTGATGTCATTCTTTCTATGCTTCTTGTATCGATGTAATGTATCAGCTCTCATATGTAATTTTATTGTTGATGCATGTGACTCCAATCCGAGTCCTTTTGGACTCCCCTCCTAGCATATCTTCGAGTTGAATTTCTCTGAGTCAAGGCTGGACTATCGTTGGGAAGTTGGAAGCTGAAATACATGTTAAAAGGAAGTTGAGATAGGCCTCGGAAAGTTCAAAAATAGGTTGTATACATGTTGTATACAACAACATACAACTAATATACATGTCTAAATGTTGGTATACAGGCCGAAAATGCAGCAAAGTACATGTTGAAGGCAGATATGCAGGTTCGAAGATGAAATACGGATCAAAAGTTGATATATAGAAAAAAGGCATAATACATATATTGGCCCCTAAACTTGGCTTCAAATTTTAACTTTGAACTCCAACTTTTATAATGCACAAATAGGCACTTTAACTATCCTACCTTTAAATGAATAGGCAAAAGCGTAAAATGCAAACGCTCCCACGTGTATTAGTGACCCACTCAATGGCTGCCAACTAATTCAATGCATGTGGGACCGTTTTCCTGTGTATTTGACACCTTTCAATTTGCCATGCATTTATTTCAATCTCTTTTAATGGATATGGACCCCACCTCACTAATTCCATTCCCTTCTCTTTATTTCTGCCTCACAACTTCTTCCTTCACTTTCATTTTGTGGTAAATTAATATTTGAAAATGTCAATTATTCAATTTATAATTTATTTGTCTTATTTCTTTTTTTAATTTATGTGTATTCAAAGATTACATTTAAGATACTATAAATTATTAGACTTAATATTTAAAAAAAATTATTACAAATTTGAAAATTACGTAATATACACTATTAATTACAATAATTACTAATTTAAAATATTTTTTCAATCTAATAAGAGCCTACAAACACACTATACGTTATATTTAAAAGTACTATAAATCATAATTAAAATATATTTTTTTTAGAAAATTTTTTGTTGACTCTTGAAATTCTATTGGTGACACATGAATTTGAATAGATGGAACAATATATATTATTGAAAGTTAACAATACTATAAGTTATTCGAAAATGACGTTAATGATTTTTATAAATTATAACAAATTAGCAACTAAAATATTTTTGAAAAACCATACAAAAAATGATTTGATGAATTAGCCACCACACCGTGGACATGTATGCTTTCTGTGATTAAAATTGAGTTTAAGGGTTATTTTGGTCATTTAAGGATTTTTCTTTTAACTTCAAGCTTTATTAATAGTAATGTATTCATTTTAGAGTTAACATGAACGTTTACTACCATATAAATATATATAATTTATT